CAGCTATAAGACAACCCACGCCCTCACCCAAGAGGCACACCATGCTGCTGAAGGTACCGTGGCATATGTGTCTGAAAGGGGAGGCGAGCTGTACATCAGAGCACGCAATGGTTGGCACAAGATCCAGGTGTGTAGGACGAGACCAGAAAGATTCAATATCCTCTATAAGATCATCGCTGCATCTTCCTGTGAAGCTTCTATTTTCAAATCACTGTCCGAAAAAATCGATTTGTCCTCTTGTACTGTAGAGTTTCACCACACGTCTCAAACATGTGCAAACAGCAACATTATAGTCGTCTTCAAACTGGTTTTAGCGGTGTAGCAGAGAGCAGGGGTGTCCAACACCAGTCCTCGAGAGCTACTGTCCTGCAGCTTTTAGGCGCATCCTTGTTCCGACACACCTGAATCAAATGAATGGCTTTGCCAAACTTGATGGCATGCTGAAGAGGTAATCCCACCATTTGATTGAGCTGTGTTGGAGTAGGACAGTAGCTCTTGAGGACTGGTGTTGGACACCCCTGGCCTAGAGTTTCCAAACCTTAAGGAGGCATTTTATGCCAAGAATGCGAACAGAAAGTACCTCATGGTTCCTCTGGATTACCGACAGCCAGAGATGATGAGCATCACTTATCAACTTTGACCCAAGATGCTTCAATTGTGTGTGTTCAGTATTACATTTTTGTGTTTTGTTTTGATTATTCAATTAATTTATTATTTTTGTAAAGTTGTCTTGTGTTTTCACTTGTCTGTTATTTGATTATTTGCTCAAATATTTATTGAAAGGACTTTGCAATAATGTACTCTTAATTTGATCTGTTATTGTATATTTTACACATGTTGGTATGGGATATTGTATTTGTTTTAAATGTTATATACCTATGTGGTATGTGACTTTTGTTGCCATGATGCCAGGTCTCTCTTGGAAATGAGATTTTTAATCTCAATGAGATTTTTTACCTAGATAAATAAAGTATTAATAAAAATAATAATAATAATTGATTTAAATGAATAACTGAAGTGCTGTGTGCAAAAATGCTGGACTGGACATCATTTTATATCAAACACTATATAAAATTCAAATATTACTGTATTCTTATCTTTGGATTTTGCCAGTGTGTCCTATTAATGCTGGTGGTAGTTTGTGCCTCACTGACATCAACAGTAAACTGCAGTGTGTGTGTGTGTGTGTGTGTGTGTGTGTTCTGTGTCAGCTCGGAGAGTTAATCCATTATGAACCTTCATCAGACACATCTCAGTCCCTCAGCAGACCCGGAGAATGGAGTAGAGCCCATAGGATACACAGCCAGGTCCGAACCCCAATGCGCACACACTGAAACCTCACTGAACACAACTTTGAAAGCAACTTTTAAAAATAAATTAATTCAAAGTTGTTGTTTTTTTGTTTGTTTGTTTTTTTAAAACACACTTATCCAACATTTTTGTTGAACAGGAGCTGCAGGAGGGAAGCCGAGGATACCAGCACAGTTATAACCTGCTACCACAGCATTTCAATGCAGTCTCTGGGGTGAGTCCAAACATATATTAGGCATACTCATGAAACCCAATTCCAAACCCAGAGGGTGAAAATGAGGCCTTTCAGATTTTATATTTCATCTGTAATGAAGAGCACATCAGGTACGAACGAGAATACTTTCTCCTAATCTTCGTGCTCCGTTTCTCTTTCGTCTAGCTTCATCTCGTAGCGCTGAACGCCCCGCTCAGAGGAGATATGCGTGGCATCCGCGGAGCAGACTTCCAGTGTTACCAACAGGCGCGCGCCGTGGGGCTCACCTCCACATACAGAGCCTTCCTGTCATCACACCTTCAGGACCTGGCAACCATTGTCAGAAAGGCTGACCGCAATGACATGCCCGTGGTTAATCTGAGGGTGAGCAGAAGTTTTCATAGCACTACACAAT